ACCATATATTGATCTTTGGTTGACAGTCATGGTTTAAATAGTTCGGTGAGTTTTTGTTTTGCTGACGGACGTTGTGTTAAGTCTAATTATAACGCAGGCATTTATGTATTTTTAGTGTGTGTCAAAACTCGCTGATGTTCCCTCCATCCTTGAAAAAGGACACCGAGGCGTGGAATGGAAGTTAATTAGACGCATGTACACTCAATTTGTGAAACACGATTTTGAATTTAAGTACTCCAAAGTAGGGTGTAGTGAATTGCTTAAACTGCAGTTAACATTTTCTTGTGCAAATTTTACCGACGAATAAATGAAAATTATGAAAAGTTTTCGAAACGTTATTACCAAAATGCAAACATGTACCACACCAATGAAACGAGAGAAAGCAGTCTCTTGGAGATTCTGGGCGAGGCGGCGCTCCTCACGGCCTGCGCTGCGCGCGCACCCCTAGCCCCGTGACGGCGAACACAGCGTTGGGCTCGAGCAGCAGCTGGTCCTCGGACAGAAAACGAAAGTCTTCTTTATTTGGGATGAAGTAAGTTCAGGCAACATGAACCTGCAGTCCATAAATTTTTACGTCTGAGGAACCTCTTGAGAAGTGACCTTGCCATTCTCAAAGTTTTCCCAGTGCTGATAATGCTATTTGGACCATAATGATCTTCTGCGTCATTCAAGTTTGTTGTAGTTTTCCCTGCACTTTGTTTCTTCTGAAATATGAATGAAAATTTCGTTACTGTTCCCCTCCGCTTCCAAGATCGCATAACTCCGTTGTAAGAAAGGCAACCGTGAGGTAAGCGCCTCTGGATGGTGGGCCCTGAGTACGAAAGGCTCCGCGTCTGTGCCGTTCTCGCACCGGGACAGCCGCAACTTAGTACACTGTGAGGGAAGCTTTTAGGTAACCCTGAGGCGAAAGCAACAACTACGATAGAGATTCTAAAATTGCGTAACTGCGATTGCTTTTTTTTTTCACACGTCCTCCCTTCTTGATAGACTTTTATAATATACACCCAGCGTTTAAATAATGGCGTCCTGGTGGGCAAATAGATGCGTACATGTCTCGGAACTTTTTTGACCCGGGTTCAAGACTTCTCTTAAAAAATTTCAACGCGAGTCAATAATGAAAACGGGTGTTACTTCTACGCTGCGTGCCTATAATAAATGCTTATGTTATTTTCACGCTGCTTGCCTGCTAGGAATCATTTTATTATATTGACGCATGGCAATTTTTTAAGAGAAAAGAGAAGTCTTGAACTCAGGCCCAAAAGTTCCGAGACACGTACACATCCACTTGCCCACCAGAACGCCATGCTGGACCCGGGCACCAAGAGAAGGACTCTTTTCAGCCATGGGTGCCAATAAGTATTCGTTGCCTTAGAGGCACGCAGCGTGTGAATAAAAGCTAAAATATTACTTGCACGCAGTAAAACTTTTCCTGCACATAAATAATAAAACTGGGCCTTGCAGACACGCTGCGTGAAAATAAGGTGTATTTATCTTACAAACACGCAAGACCCATTTTTCTTGTTTAAACGCCGCGTGTCTATAATGACTCCGTTCCCGCTGTCCACACGGTGCATTCGCTGAATCCGTTGCCCTTCTTCGATTCCTCTCCACTTCCGTCGCAGAGTTGGTGGCGCACTTGGGGCCGTGAAACGCAGCCGCAGTGTTCCCAGCGGTCCCTCGTCGGCTTGCCCGAGGCGGATTACCCGAAGGTGAGTTGCAGTCGGCACGCGAGGCACCTGTTGGCTGCAGAGTGACGGTGCACCGCGCGGCGGTGAAGGCTGCACTGCCAACGAGGCGCCGAGGAAGCCTGCGCGATAAATGTTAGTGTGCAAGTTCAAACTTGTGTTGCTGAAGTTTGAACGTATGTAACGTTTTGCTCCAAGTAGAGACCACAATTTCTCAAGTTTCCGCAGTTTTGTACGTATAGTAGTTTGCGAATTGCACGTATGTGCCCATAATCGTGCAAAGTATACGTACTAAATTGTCGGCGAACATTCAGTGTGTGTGTCTGCAGGCAGTTCTATTAGGGAATCTGTTCGCTTGGAAACCCATACTACCCTTGTTTCCGGTCACTGTTAAAGTCACGATCTACTGTCTAACGAGGTTTCCACTGTAGGATTTCTTGGCTTGTCCTGACTAGCGTGAAGCATTCCCGATCAACGTAAACTTGCTGAGGTAAAACCAAACAAGGGGCCATCGATGTTAGTTCGTCTTGCCAGTCGTGCTTGTATGGGGACGTCCGTCAAATACGGTGCGCAAGTGGGGAAGGGGGACCCAGTGGCCTGACGCTGCGGCACACACACGAGGTGACGGGGTAGCGTAACACATTGAATGTGAGAGGGTTTACATTGTGTTTTCCTCAGTAAGTGATTGTAACGTTAAATCGTGGTGGTCTGAGCTAGCGTCATGGTGTGCTGCAATGGGTCCGTACCAAAGCTGCGTAACGTAACAAGAAGTGCGTAACGCAACAAGAAGTGCGTAACGAAAGTAGGTGGTGTAGGGCAGACCGTTGCACGTCGTACCAGGCTACGCGATCGGGGTGCTGCACCATTTTCGTTTCGGCAATCGGCGCCTTGCGTTTACACCTACACTCTCATTCAGGGGTGTTCTAAAACTTGACGCCTTTAGTCGCTTGCCTTAGGTTTTGGCAAGCGACTAAAGGCGTCAAGTTTTAGAACACCCCTGAATGAGAGTGTAGCTTGGCCCGCGGCGCTGACTCACTTCGGCAGGCTCCTCTCCCAGACACAGTGCGCGCTAATCGTCGTGATCTCAACCCAGCATGCGGTGTTCGCATTTGTGGGTTGCGCCGTCGGAAATATCTAAAAAATTTTGTATGCGCGCTTTAAACGGTTTAAAGCAGACTCGAAGTTGTTACGCACCGCATGCGACAAATTTTAGGGATAAAGGGTTAAGCTGTGTTGCGGCTCGCGTTAGGTCTTCATTTAAGTTTCAGTCCTTTTAGTATTTCTCAATGGGTCAAATGTCCACCGTATTGGGACTTTGTAGAACCTTAAAATATTTAACTAGCATCCTTTCTGAACCCCTATCTACTTCATTTTTCAGAATTCAGAGAACGAGTCGGTGTGCATCATCCCCTCCTGCATTTTGAGGTCTTCACCAGCACCAAAGGTATGCTCAATTTTCTCTGGCCTCTGTTACACGAGGCAAGCCTGAACTGACACTAACAGGTCTCTCTCTTTGTTCCAGCAGGCCCTGCCCTGCCAGGCGCATCATGCCCCTCGAGAGCTCACTGTGCGGCGAGGTGGCGGCATCGTCATCGGCGCCGCGTGTTCCACGTGGCAAGCGTGGAGGGCAGCAGGCACTCCACTGTGCAGTCTGCGAGAAGGAGTTCCGATTCAAGTGGGACCTCCAGGTGCACCTACGAGTCCACACCGGGGAGAAGCCTTTCGAGTGCACGTTCTGCGGGAAGAAGTTTTCTCAAAGGGGTCAGGTAACAACGCACCTTTGGATCCACACCGGGGAGAAGCCTTTCGAGTGTGTAATTTGCGAGAAGAGGTTCACGCAAGGTGGAACTCTGAGGACGCACCTTCGCACTCACACTGAGGAGAAGCCGTACGAGTGCACAGTTTGCCAGACGTTTCCTGACATGTCCAGGACAACAAAAAAAATTCTTAGCAAAACGATTCACGTAGCTGACAGATTTAAGAAGGACCTTAACTTAGCTCCCAAATTTAGTGCGCCGTTGCAAAGACAAGTTGCAAAGCAGTTTGCATTTAGCGAGTACACTAGCACCTGATTGCGAGCTACAGAGGTGCCAGGAAAGTCTCAAGGAGAGACCGAGAGGCCGATATGGCGTCGAGTGAGTGCGCGCCTCTCACTCGGCAGACTCGGGTTTGTCCGGCCGACATCCATCGAACGCACAGTAGTAATAAGGATTATCGGTTGCCGGTCGCTGGAACGTGCAGAAAAATTTTGTGCAACTCAGTGCTAACATGGTAGGTGCACAGCATTCGTCCAGCTACATAAATTTACGAAGCGAAGGAAGTACTTATTCTGAAAGACGAAGTTTTAGCTGTACAGGAATTTACCTGTGCAGCCTAATTATTTTCTAGTGTAGTGATCTAAGAAGGCACCTTCGCACCCACACCGGGGAGAAGCCTTTCGAGTGCGCAGTTTGCAAGAGGAAGTTCAATCAGAGATACCACCTCCGAACGCACCTTCGAACGCACACAGGGGAGAAGCCATTTGAGTGCGCCGTTTGCAAGAACAAGTTCACTGCAAGTTCGGATTTAAGAAAGCACCTTCGCACCCACACTGGGAGAAGCCTTACGAGTGCACGTTGCAAGAAGAAGTTCACGCAAGGTCGAAAGTCTGAGAATGCACCTTCGCACTCACACGAGGAGAAGCCTTAGGTGCACCGTTTGCAGAAGAGTTTCAAAACACCACAAAATCTCAGAAGGCATCTCAGAACCCACACTAGGTAGAAGCCTTCGAGTTCCAGTCAGCAAGAAAAAGTGCAGCACAAGCAGCAATCTCAAACGCCACATCCGGACGAAGAAACTATCTGAATTGGCTCACGTGTGGTCCCTTAGAATTACGATTAGTTAAGAGTCAGTCATTTTCCCGTTTATCTTTTTTAATTGTTTTTGATGAGTGATTTTGCTGTTTTTACTGACCGGCTGCACTTTTTCGTTAGTGTCTCACGTCTCAAGTACGAATCCGCGGTCTTAGGACGCTTCCTGTATTGTTGGTTTCTTCTGACTGATTTATTGGTACGTTGGACTCGTCGAAATTCATAATGACCTTTCAAGGAAATTTCCCGCAGTTCCGTTTTCTTACGAGTCTTGGTACCGATGCGCGTCACTCTGCAGTCGGACACCGTTGATCAGGGAGGAATGCACCACTTTGCTAGTAGTTTGACACAGTCATGCCCATCCGAAGGCTCCCAAGTTTAGAAGCATTCCCTTTTAACAAAAAAATTATAGCTGGTGACTTCAACATGCTTGATTGTAAAATAAAATACTAATGAATGCTGCCAAACATTTGTTTTTATCACTGTTTTGAAACTCTTAATGAGAAGCAGATAAATCTTTTTCTGAAAGGAACAGAGGGTCATTGTCAGAAGTCTTGAAATAATTTATATCTATATAGACTCGTTAAGAACAAAGGCTACGAAATAATTGACTTGCTCCCCATTTAAAACAAGCTTTCCGCTTATTCTTTTAAAAAAAAAAACCGATGGACAAACCGAATGTGATCAGAGCAGCGCCGAAAACATCTCATAACGAAGGACTCGTTATTTTAGCGATAAATGAGCAAAGTCTCCAATTGTAAGTTCCCTAACTGAGGTGCTGAGAACAGCCTCAAATGCAGAAGACCTTTTCTTGTAAAACTTTAACCGTCAAGTAAATTATAATATTCATTTTTTAGAAATCTTCATTACAAAAATTCCAACATGCTCTTCACAAATGGAACGAGAGAAAGCAATCTCTTTTCTTTAAGCTGCCTAAGAATTGTTTCACACCATCACATCACAATTATTTAGGTCAAGTTTTAGACAATCTGAAAGGAAGTCCTCAAGGAAGAACTTGTAACCCAGCGGTTCTCAACCTTTTCCCGACAACCCTAAATTTGTAGCCAAAATTTTTCACGACCCTCAGGACCCTCCCCCACAAAAAAACAATGCCCTTTTTGAAAGAATTTCAAGTAAACGCCCACACGCTTGAAACCTTTACGGAGTATTTTGAGCGTTACATAGTGCAAACTAAATAACTTTGCATACGAAGAACAAGTTAATAAATTACGAAGTATTTTCTTTGATAGCTTGTGTATGCTCAAAGTTATTCGTCATAACAAATTGTTTGCTTTGGAAGTTTGTATGGTTTTCAGAATGCAGTTCCCGCCAGGGCTTGGCACGGCGTCCAGCCGGGAGACCGCTCGAAATTTTTCCGCGAACCCAAGGTTGATAGCCTCTGCACTGTTAAAAAATGTGCTGTAAATTAACAGCATTTATGCTGTTAAGTTTGATAGCAACACTACTTGTTTTATTACAAGCATGTTGTAGCCCTCGGTGCTGTTTTCAGACAGTTCGATTGTAATAAAACAATACTTCTTTGGAGTCTTCGATAAAGTCTTCGCTACAATTGTGTTCATCTCATCGTGCTGTTATTAAACAAGACCCCTGTAACCTGACAACAACATATGTTTTAAGATTGCAAAAGGCTGTTTCTAAACATGAAACCTGTTCAACGACAACACAACTGTTTTGAATCACGATAACATTATTGTTAATTGACAAGGAAGTTGTTTTGAAACGAAAGTGTTGTTTCTGGATGGGTTTCCCGTTTAGACACAAAACAATACTGTTGTTATGTAACAGCATTACTGTAGGTGATTGTGTTGTAATATTACAGTGGATTTATAACAGTGTGTTCCATGTTCCATCCTTACTCAACTCTTGTTACACTGAGAATTACACTCTCAGCCGTTCACTGACTATTTCTCATTTGCAGACGTATTTCTGTAAGCAACCATAATAATTAGTATTTAGTTCTTAAATACTTAAAAAGTTCTTTGTAATTTACTAAGAAAACGGTAATATCAGTACAGTAATTAGTAATTGCTAAGTAATAATGACAAAAAATACTAAGTATTATCGTTGCTTACAGAAATGCGTCTGCTAATGAGAAATAGTCAGTAAACGGCTGAGAGTGTAAAGAGTCTTGATCAATACCCATTATCGGGCGAGGTATACTTAAACACCGTAATTTGGGCGAGAAAGGGTGTTTCAGCTACGTGTATGGCTGCATAGTTATCACCCAAGGTTTCCACACCCAAAAATGGGCGATAAAGAATTCCCCGCCCAAAATTTTAGTCCCGATCATGATGACTATCGTTTTCAGTGCAGGGCCTGGTCTAAATTCCATCGGAAAAAGGAGGTTACTGAACCAAAGTCTACATGACTCCTATAAACAGGCGGCCAAGGGGTCCACTCATCTTGGTACTTTTAGGAGACTCGTGTACAAAAGAAGCAAGACAACTAAACTGCTTCTTTTTTTTAACCTCTAGTGTATTTGGAGAGGAGAGTTAACCTCGAGTAACCAGAATGTATCTCACTAGTTCTTAGTGCAATGCACACTGAACGCTTGTTACTGCAACCAACGTCCAACTTCTTGAAGATTTAGTAAGTTACAGGACACAAGGCTCCGCGGAGTCATGTCAGTGCGTTCTCGCACTGGAGCAGCCTTAGATTCGTACACTGTGAGTGGAGCGGAAGCGACGGGAACAAGAGAGCACGCGTAGAACCTTACGAAGTACTTTGAGCAGAACTATACAGTTTTTTATACGAAGAAATAGTTCGTAACTTATTCTTTTCTTTGAAAGCTCATGAATTCTTTGTAAAGCCGGAAAGAGGTTGGAGGATTTTCAGAGCGTGGATCCTGAAATTGCGTAACCGCATCTTCCACGCGTCCTCTCTTCCCGCTGTCCACACGGTGCATTCGCAGAATCCGCTGCCCTTCTTCACAGCATTCGGTGAAACTGTTCTCCACTTCCGTTGCAGAGTAGGTGGCGCACTTGGGGCCGTGAAACGCAGCCGCAGTGTTCCCAGCGGTCCCTCGTCGGCTTGCCCGAGGCGGATTACCCGAAGGTAAGTTGCAGTCGGCACGCGAGGCACCTGTTGGCTGCAGAGTGACGGTGCACCGCGCGGCGGTAAAGGCTGCACTGCCAACGAGGCGCCGAGGAAGCCTGCGCGATAAATGTTTGTGTGCAAGTTCAAACTTGGTGTTGCTTAAGTTTGAACGTATGTAACGTTTTGCTCCAAGTAGAGACCAAAATTTCTCAAGTTTCCGCAGTTTTGTACGCATAGTAGTTTGCGAATTGCACGTATGTGCCCATAATCGTTCAAAGTATACGTACTAAATTGTGGGCGAACATTCAGTGTGTGTGTCTGCAGGCAGTTCTATTAGGGAATCTGTTCGCTTGGAAACCCATACTACCCTTGTTTCCGGTCACTATTAACGTCACGATCTACAGTCAAACGAGGTTTCCACTGTAGGATTTCTTGGCTTGTCCTGACTAGCGTGAAGCATTCCCGATCAACGTAAACTTGCTGAGGTAAAACCAAACAAGGGGCCATCGATGTTAGTTCGTCTTGCCAGTCGTGTTTGTATGGGGACGTCCGTCAAATACGGTGCGCAAGTGGGGAAGGGGGACCCAGTGGCCTGACGCCGCGGCACACACACAAGGTGACGGGGTAGCGTAACACATTGGTTGTCAGAGGGTTTTCGTTCTGTTTTCTTTCCTCATTAACTGATTGTAACGTTAAACCGGGGTGGTTTGAGCTAACGTCATGGTGCGCTGCAATGGGTCCGTACCAAAGCTGCGTAACGCAAACAAGGTGCGTAACGAAAGAAGGTGGTGTAGAGCGGACCGTTGCTCGTCGTCCCAGGCTTCGCGATCGGGATGCTGCACCAGTTCCGTTTCAAGCCTTGCGTTTGCACCTCGCTTGGCCCGCGGCGCTGACTGCCTTCGGCAGGCTCCTCTCCCAGACACAGTGCGCGTTAATCGACGTGACCTCAATCCATAGCACCATAGGGTGCTCGCACAGCACCGTCGGCAGGATCTTAAATTGTTTGTATGTGCGCTTACACTCCCAAGATGCTACTAAGCTTTGTCTTCGTACGAACAAAAAGCTCACATGACTGCGCAGCGAGGGTAGTAACCTATTGTGAAGGGTTCTATGAAGTAGAAAGTCCTCTGTATTTTGACAGATTTGTGTCACAAAGTACCGAGCATCTGCTTAGTAGTAAGACTCCACGGCATTTTTAGAAGGAAGTTGGGAGTGTAAGAGGAAGGGCAGAACTTATCAAATTGTTTTGTCCGGTATCCGATAAACATCAAGTGTAAATGATCAAGCTGAGTTGCGCCATATCCTGGCGTAAAGTCTTGCCATGTAATTTTCAGTTCTCTCATTACTGGATTAACTGGATTAACTGTCAGCCATATGGGGAGTTTGTGGAGCCTTTTAGAACACTCAGAAAAGCTTGCAAAGAAAAGTACTTTGCAGTACAAAGCATTCTCCAGCATTGTATTACAAACTGCCTTGCGTACTTTTTTCTACGCATACACTGCAAAAAAATTTCTGAAATTTAAGACATGAAAATGTCTTAAATTTAATAACATTTTGAAATGATGTGAAAACTCAGAAAAGTTTGTAAAAAGTGCTATACTTTATTACATTTACCAAAACTAAAATGAAAAGTAATAAATATTTTGGTAAATTTAAAAACCACTTTTAAAACTTAGGAACTGGGTTGTCAAAATTAAGATTGCCTGCCAAAAGTAAAAATTGGTTTCTTAAAATCTACATGACTGATGACTTTTCATAACTAGATTTCTGAAACTAACTGATTGAGGTTAAAATTGAACGCTTCAGTGATAGCTGTCACATTCAACGTAAACCGAAGGTTTAGTTTGATTACTTCACGCAAACTGTCGACAAGCCACTTCTCACACGGTATGGCCCACAGTCAGCCGCTGGGTTCAAGGTCAGGTTTCACAGACCTGCCCCTAGGTGGCGCTTAGAGCGCCGTGTCCGTTCCCGAATAAGAATTTCCTATTTGTATTTCTAAAAGAACTTCTTTTGGCAAATGATACCATCTGTTGCCTTAGTAAATGTCTTTTCTAGCCGCTAGCTCAAATTTTTTAACAAAATATTCCATTGAAGTTGAGAAAAACGCACAACCATGTTGCCACTCGCTGTCGTCTGCTGTCGGCCATTAGGTTAGGTCCAGGCACCTCCTCTGTTGAGGCACAGTCGGAAGATGGAAGACAAACAAGTATCAGGTCTTCGTGCTTCGAATAATTTATGACAATTGGCACTGTAATGTGACACGATGTAAGATGCATTTCAGAATTCTGACATCCACACTCGAAATCGGACGTCGGTATAGAATTCCTTTTCTCCCACTTTAGTCATATTTTAATAAACCATAATCTATGAATTTTAAAAACTTTGTCATTAGTTTTAAGAGGAGAAAGTTTCTTACTTTTAATAGCAAAAAATCTTTGTAAACTGCTTCACAAACTAGTTTCTTAAAATTAAGATGGATTTTTTTTGCAGTGATGTAACATAAGCTGGAGGACATTGAGCATACCTTTGGTGCTGGCGAAGACCTCAAAGTGCAGAAACGAATGATGCGCACCGCCTCGTGTTCAGTCTTCTGCAAAGCGAAATAGATAAGGGTGAAGAGTGGACGCTGGTAAAATTCACTCAAAAAACCTTGCGAAGTATTCTCCGGCATTGTATTGCAAACTCTCTTACAAACTATTTTCTTTGCACTGCGAAGTATTTCTTTGCAACTTGCAAAGAAAATGCTTTGCAACATTACAAACCATTGCTTCGCAACTTTGCAAACTTTTTCCTTCGCAACTTACAAACAATTTCTTTGCAATCACTGCAAAAAAAATCCATCTTAATTTTAAGAAACTAGTTTGTGAAGCAGTTTACAAAGATTTTTTGCTATTAAAAGTAAGAAACTTTCTCCTCTTAAAACTAATGGCAAAGTTTTTAAAATTCATAGATTATGGTTTATTAAAATATGACTAAAGTGGGAGAAAAGGAATTCTATACCGACGTCCGATTTCGAGTGTGGATGTCAGAATTCTGAAATGCATCTTACATCGTGTCACATTACAGTGCCAATTGTCATAAATTATTCGAAGCACGAAGACCTGATACTTGTTTGTCTTCCATCTTCCGACTGTGCCTCAACAGAGGAGGTGCCTGGACCTAACCTAATGGCCGACAGCAGACGACAGCGAGTGGCAACATGGTTGTGCGTTTTTCTCAACTTCAATGGAATATTTTGTTAAAAAATTTGAGCTAGCGGCTAGAAAAGACATTTACTAAGGCAACAGATGGTATCATTTGCCAAAAGAAGTTCTTTTAGAAATACAAATAGGAAATTCTTATTCGGGAACGGACACGGCGCTCTAAGCGCCACCTAGGGGCAGGTCTGTGAAACCTGACCTTGAACCCAGCGGCTGACTGTGGGCCATACCGTGTGAGAAGTGGCTTGTCGACAGTTTGCGTGAAGTAATCAAACTAAACCTTCGGTTTACGTTGAATGTGACAGCTATCACTGAAGCGTTCAATTTTAACCTCAATCAGTTAGTTTCAGAAATCTAGTTATGAAAAGTCATCAGTCATGTAGATTTTAAGAAACCAATTTTTACTTTTGGCAGGCAATCTTAATTTTGACAACCCAGTTCCTAAGTTTTAAAAGTGGTTTTGAAATTTACCAACTATTTATTACTTTTCATTTTAGTTTTGGTAAATGTAATAAAGTATAGCACTTTTCACAAACTTTTCTGAGTTTTCACATCATTTCAAAATGTTATTAAATTTAAGACATTTTCATGTCTTAAATTTCAGAAATTTTTTTGCAGTGTGAGGCAAGCCTGAAGTGACACTAACAGGTCTGTCTCTCTGTTTCAGCAGCCCTCCCTGCCAGGCGCATCATGCCCCTCGAGAGCTCACTGCGCGGCGAGGTGGCGGCATCGTCAGCGGCGCCGCGTGATCCACGTGGCAAGCGTGGAGGGCAGCAGGCACTCCACTGTGCAGTCTGCGAGAAGGAGTTCCGATCCAAGAGTGTCCTTCAGGCGCACTTGCGGATCCACACCGGGGAGAAGCCTTTCGAGTGCACGTTCTGCGAGGAGAAGTTTGCTCTAAATGGAAACTTAACAAGGCACCTTCGAACCCACACCGGGGAGAAGCCTTTCGAGTGTGTAATTTGCGAGAAGAGGTTCACGCAAGGTGACAGTCTGAGGAAGCACCTTCGCACTCACACTGAGGAGAAGCCGTACGAGTGCACAGTTTGCAAGAAGAGTTTCTCTGACCGTAGCACTCTAAGAAGGCACCTGCGGACCCACACCGGGGAGAAGCCTTTCGAGTGCGCAGTTTGCAAGAGGAAGTTCGCTAACAGGTGCAACCTTGGAAAGCACCTTCGAACGCACACCGGGGAGAAGCCATTTGAGTGCGCTCTTTGCAAGAACGAGTTCACTGCAAGTTGGGATTTGAGAAGGCACCTTCGCACCCACACTGGGGAGAAGCCTTTCGAGTGCACAGTATGCAAGAAGAAGTTTACTAGAAGTGAGCAGTTAAGAATGCACCTTCGAACGCACACCGGGGAGAAGCCATTTGAGTGCGCTCTTTGCAAGAACGAGTTCACTGCAAGTTGGGATTTGAGAAGGCACCTTCGCACCCACACTGGGGGAAGCCTTTCGAGTGCACAGTATGCAAGAAGAAGTTTACTAGAAGTGAGCATTTAAGAATGCACCCTTTGGACCCATACCCGGGGGGAAGCCTACGAGTGCACCGGTGTAAGAAGAGTTTCAGTGAATCCGGAAACCTCAGAGAGCATCTCAGAACCCACACTAGGTAGAAGCCTTTCGAGTGCTCGGTCAGCAAGAAAAAGTGCAGCACGAGCAGAAACCACAAACAGCACATCCGGACGAACCGAGGAAAATCTATCTGAATTAGGTCACGTGTGGTTGCAGTGTACTGGCTTTTGCTTTGTTCCCCTCAGAATTACGATATGTAAAGGTTCAGTCATTTTCCCCATTTTTCACCTTGGATGTTGAAATATGTGCCAGGCTTGGGATGTTTGCCTATTGAAACACAGCAATTCGGTTCACGAAACTTCACGTATTTATTGTGCGTTCACACACTCGTACAGAGACACACACACGCCACAGATTACTCCGCGCACCGCGGGAGGTACTACATTATGAGAAATACTTCGCTACACTTTACACTTCTAGATGCTTCTAGTCTGTTCGGGTTTTGTATGAGAAATTGCCTCATTCCAACACCCCTCCTCAAATTTTTCAATACACACAATGTATTTACATTTTCATTAAACATATCATGTCAAAGCGACTTATGATTTTAAAACACAACAATTTCAAATTGATTTTATTGCACATTTTAACTTACATTCACTTGACACACCACAAACACAATTTTACTGCCAGAACATTTCAACTTCAACATTTTAACTTCACAGCATAAATTCTTTCAAGACATTAACAACCAACCAATGTATACAACTTATTCGGTTTAGAGCTTAATTCGCCGCGTAAGAAAAAACAACAACAACGTACCAAAACAACGTACCAAATTGCTCCATTTGGCTAAGTTCCGTTTGCTTGAAACTTATGGTGCAGGGAAAACCTATGTAAACAAATAGGCAAAAACCTCACCGGCAATTTGCTTAATCCAAACATACAAAGAAATCATCAGTACTTTAGACCAGCATGCGTCAAACACATACTTCAGAAAAACCAAAAAAACAAAGTCCTCAAATCAACAATTATATTAAGTTACAGTTTTTAAAAACCAAAAACTTTCACAAATTCAAAACCCCTGAAAAATAACAATATCATACTATTTGCATATCAATTTATAGACTCGACTCGACCCACCAGATAACATTTGACACAAACACTCAAATAAAGTCTTAGCACACAACATTAACACTTACGGTCACTGATTGTCACACATTGATTGACTTCTTTACTCAGCTCTAAATATTTCCTTTCAACCAACATAAACATAAAACACTTTTGTTACATCTGCAAAATAGGAATTTCGTCGCACTCTGAAAAATCATTCTTGACTCTTACCATTAAACATTCAAAATTGCAACTCCAAACGAATTCACATTTTCGACTGATAAATGATAACTGTAAAACAATTTCGATGTTAACAAAACAGATCAGTGTTACAACAATACTTAGGTTTTACATAGCTCATAGCTCAAATTTTCAGACCACTTTGGTGTACATTTCTGCTCACAACTATGTATAGAAACACAAAATTTTAAAATACTGCAATTTACACCTGTCACTTATAGTATTATGCATAAAGCAATTAAGCGTTTTGACGTTATTAAACATTTTAATCAACACAAGAGAACACACAAGAAAAACTGACAGCTAAACATTTTCAAAACTTATACGAGGGAAATCGACAACTGACTGCTGATTGGCTTTTGATTGCTGCTGCTGCTCTTTTCCCCCCCTCGATTTTCCGAGTACATAAAAAAACAAAGTACGGGAAAAACTTCTTTCAATTAAACTTTTCAAACGTCACACAAAAATGCAAAGCTTACAAACCTCTTTACAAACACTCAGTTTTTTTTTTTTTTTGACAAGTCCGACTGGTTTGGGGTTTCAACTCCTTTATCACAAAAATATTTGGTATTAATTCCATTTCTTTTTTTTTTTCGTTCCAAATTTTGAATACTCCAATTGAGATAAGAAATCTGAAGATTCATTTCACATGTCATGTAAAGATTTGCCTCGGATCCATTATTTGTAATTGTTACCTGTAACTAACACCTTTGCTCAAACAACAATGTCATTAATATTGTTCCACTTCAAAATAAAAAATTTATTAATAATTAATTTAATTTCAACTTCAGTCACAGAATACTCAACAAAAAGCAATTTCATACCACATTTCAAAGTCCTTTGCAAAAATTGAATGAATTCGTAAACAGAAAAACAGCATTCAAACGCATCATAACTTTGTTATACGTTACGATTGTTTCTTCCTCCAAATTTTACGCTTGTCCATTCGTCAAATACAAACTCCAACATCCACTTTATGATTAAAGATTTCAGTTTCATTACGTTCATTTCGGTATTCAAACAAAGTCATACAAGTCCATCCGCTCACTGTTGTTTATCTGTCCAGAACCAGTGCCAATGGCTTAAAATCTCGACTCTCTAGGGTACTCAACCTTTGTCTTCCTCCATATTTACTGTTAACATAAGAAAACACAGTAGCATAAAACAAACAAACAAACAATCACATTGTGCTCAAAGTGCAAACTGATTTCTCATTCAATTTCTCTGGAGAAACTCTCCGTTTTTTTTTTTTAGGAAACTTCCTTTTCTTTTTATTTTTCTTTCTTTCTTTCTTTTTCTTTCTTTCTTTCTTTCTTTCTTTCTTTCTTTCTTTTTTTCTTTCACTGTTAAAAAAAATCTGAAAATTTAGACCAAATTTTTTTAGACCTAGGGTCTGAATCTGAAAATTTAGACTTTTATCAGAATTTTCAAAAGTTGTCTTAATTTTACACCTTTGGTCTGAAAAATGAGTTTCGGACTCAAGAGTCTGAATTTTGGATGGCGCGGTAAAAATTTTCGGCGTCGGGGTTTTAAAAACAGTCATTTATAGTAAAAGGTCTAAATTTTCATCCTGCGCAGTCTGAAATTGACGCTTTATTTTCTGAAAAAGGCATGACTGTTTTCAGGTGCTATAGACCCTGAATTGCTAGAGCAGTAGTAAATAGACTTTTGCTCAGCTAAGCGAACGGCCGTCTATGTTGAGTTTAAAATCAGCCTGCAGTCCGCTGGTAGCTGCAGGATGCGACATGTTTGCCCTGGTTCCGGCATGGACCGAAGCCCTGGCCCCCCGAGCCGAGCCGTCCGGCGGCGGCCAGCCGAGCCAGGCCCACCGAGCCGACCCGGGGGCGTTCGGAAAATCACCGCGGCCCGGGCGTCCCGGCCGAAGCCTACCTGCGGGGGGCGGGGGGAAAAGGGGGGGGCCCTTAATCCCTCGGCCACTGGGATTCTGGACAGAATGCGTCAGTTTTAGCTTGTCTCCAGAGCAGTGCACATCGGATCCGAATACAAGTCCGCGTCGCGTGTCATCTTTCTTGTGACGCTCCGTCGTGAAGCAAATTTTTATGTGTTACATCGGCGCTCAGCACAGTGTGTACAGTGCCGTTTTGCCTTCGCCTTCCGTGCCCCAAAAATTGCTTCGGGTGCGTGCAGCACCACTCTGAAGCATCCAAAATCCGCGGCAAGCAGGCTGTGAAAGTGGCGTAGCCTTATACTGAATTGCGTTTTCCCAAACTAAAGGGACGGGTGATGAGCGAGTGGGTGGCTTTTTGGAAATTTGTCACCCTCTTTCATCCTCGTCCCAAAGTTTTTCATCGTGCCGAAAAAGTTTCCACAAAGTGTGCATCTGGATCCAACATGCTGCTTTCCAGTTTTAAGCTGCATTTTCTGGAGCTTACTTCGAGGACTAGTTTTTTTTTTTTGGGAAGCTCTCTCAGCAAAATATATCTATTTAAAGTTTTGCGCAACTTTGGGTGCTACTTTTAACAAAAGAGCTGTTTTACAACTGCTCTTTTAGTGCATGCATTCCATGTTTCTCAGCAATTTAAAACATCACCCCCAAAAACATAATATGCATCCTGACAAAAGTGGTAATTTTATTCCCTGGGCGGCTTAGAATTCAAACCCGCGAGGTAAAAAATTCAGACTCCCAAAGTCCGAAAATTCAGACTACCTGTAGTCGAAAAATTCAAATACTTGCTAGTCTGAAAATTTAGACACAGGTGGTCCCAAAAATTCAGAGTGTCCGGGGGGCTGAAAATTCAGACCACGGGTTTCAAAATTGACTTCATCCTAAAAAGTCTGAAAATTTCGACTTTTTTTTAAAAAGGCTTTCTTTCTTTTTCCGTGGGGGAAACCCCCCTCACAAGGGAACCTCCCTCTTTTACGTGGGGAACCTCCCTCACAGGAACCTCCCCTTTTACTTCAGGAGAACATCTCCTTAGGGAACCTCCCTTTTAGTCCGGACTGACACACTGGTACAACAAGTTTGGTTCTGGAACTTCCAGTTTTTTTTTTCTTTGTTATCTTTTTGTTCAATATTTTTATTTCACAATTCATGTCAGAGTGCACTTTTGAGCTAATTTCATTTTCAAGAGTTTAAAAGATTCAATTTTTAAATTGCCTTGCGACACACCCTCAAAGGGGTTTTCTCAATTGAAAGATTTACCTCTTTTACTTGCCTCATAAGAATTCCCAAACACCAAAAACTCATGTAAGATGTCCTTTCAGTAGTATTTTTCGGTAACATTTGTAGACACATATTTCTTGAGGTCCATTTTTACAGATGACCAAGGTGACTCCATTCTTCGCATTCATTTTAGTCATAACCGACAACTGGAAAAACACTGAAACTCGAGACATTGATTATTCAAATTTCACATTTAACGGAAAATAAATTTCACACTTCCAACGAAAAACATTCATTACAGTCACATCTGACAAGTATTAGTATTGCTATAAATAAGCTTGTTTTTATAACTTTCCATTCTCTATTTTCCTTTGAACCACACATTTGGGTTTTTTCACCCATCAGTCTAGTTCCTTTACGTTACAGCGGGTTACATTGAGCCACATGCACCCCAAAATTTGTTTCTGATATCACAACCACTTGCACCATATTTGGCATTACAAAGAATTGTACTCACTTAAAATCGCTATGTAAAATTTTATTTTTTCGGTTTATTTTTCCGTTACAAGTTTAGCCCTCACTCCCAGATTGCATTGAAAATATAGAAGCAATAATAATTTATTTTGAACGTGTTCATGACTTACCACACAACATGTTTTTGGGCATTGCAAAAATTCACAACCAAAAATTGATTCATCCGATCACAATCAATAATTCAAAGTTTTCTTCAAAATACTTCATGACCAATATTTACCATTCGTCAGCTTTTCAGTCCTTAGTATAGAAATCTGAACACTTCAACATATAAGACGAAAACACGAATTAACATGTTCTTAGTTCAGTAACCAGATACGAAGTAACAGTTTCAAGTAAAACATTGCTCCTGGTTCACTCCCTCAACTTGTTTTTGTTTTCTTTCCAATTTCATTTTTACCCAGACTTCAACAAACTTCAGAATAATTTTTTTAAATAATAAAAAATTGCTTTTTTTTTACTATAATTCATCTTATTTGTTTAAACCTTTTTATTCGTTTGTTTATAGTACCGCTTCATTAGTTTTAAATTCAAATTTTGACTGTGCTCTCCCACATTTCGCACGAATGTTCGATCTGCAAAAATTTTTCATCTCCCAAAATTTTCCATCTGCCCCTCCTGAAACTAAATTCAATAATCAAAGCTACAGGAAACTGTATGTCTAAAAACACTGTTACCAGGCTTCGTCAAAGGTACCCGAATCACACTCCAGAACAACAAAAAATGGCATTCCCTCTGACCTTGACTCTGAGCCGAAGCGACCATGGCGCCATCTCTCGGTGCTATGCCGTACTACAGACCGCTGGGGCGGGGCGGCCGGCTAGTCGCCCCATAACCTCACTCTCTGTTCTCAGTCACACGTGAATTATACGAACACCGTTCACTGCCAGTTCACATTCTCGCTTTGAAAAAAATTATTGCACAATGAAAACTTTGTTTTGCCACTGTTCACTTACATACAATACCACTCGTTGCAAGAAAAACTCAAACTTTTTTTTTCTTCCAGAAAGATCCACTTTTTTTCACTTCTGATTTACAAGCTTTCTCTGCATCATTTCTTTCGTTCCAGACGTCTGACTTTCTCCACATTCTAGAAAATTTCGTCATTCACTAAAAAAATTTTAAAGACTGTCGCTCCGGTGAGGGGAATACTCAGACAAAGAAGCCAAGTGCAGACAAAGGATCGCACACAACAAGACAGTCACAACGTCGAAAATACTAACAAATACGTTGAAATTCATTCCAGGCTTCTGATACTACAAACTTATTCATAAAGCATCATATTTTAGTCATGCCTTACCCCCAAAGCCCCTTTTTTCACTTAAAAAACCAGCAATTTTCGGACTTAGACCACACCCAGGGGGAATACCCAACTCGGACATTTTTAGGCCATTTCTCTGAAACAAAGATTTTTTTGGGCCCAAAATTTTCTTCATTGACGATAATTAACATCGGTTTCTTATTGAATTTCATCATTTGCATCCGTTTCCATTCATAATTTCATCAAAAACTTCAGATTTACGCTTTTAGCCAAACCCTCGGCGTATTCACAACCATTAAAAAACTTATAAAATTCTTCCGATTTTCAAATAAATAAGTCTCTCCTGTAACAAACAAGATCAACAATAACTCCGTTCCAATAAAAATCAAATCAAACTTCCAAAGTCAACGTCCCTTTTAACTTAAACCACAAATTCCTTCGACCACATTGTGAGAACAAAGACGGCGACGGCCCTTCACACTTCTTACAACTTTACAAGTTAATTGCGTGATTTCAACCATAACTTATTATCACAGAATATTCCTGGGCCCATAACCTGTTGAAATATGTGCCAGGCTTGGGATGTTTGCCTATTGAAACACAGCAATTCGGTTCACGAAACTTCACGTATTTATTGTGCGTTCACACACTCGTACAGAGACACACACACGCCACAGATTACTCCGCGCACCGCGGGAGGTACTACATTATGAGAAATACTTCGCTACACTTTACACTTCTAGATGCTTCTAGTCTGTTCGGTTCTGTATGAGAAATTGCCTCATTCCATGTAGTACCTCCCGCGGTGCGCGGAGTAATCTGTGGCGTGTGTGTGTCTCTGTACGAGTGTGTGAACGCACAATAAATACGTGAAGTTTCGTGAACCTAATTGCTGTGTTTCAATAGGCAAACATCCCAAGCAAATTGTTTTTTCTCTTTATTGACTGACTGCCCTTGTTCGTCAGTGTTTCAAGTACAAATCCCATCTTAGGGCGCTTTTTGAATTCGTATCCCTCCAAGGGCTCCCAAGTTTAAGAAATGTTTTCTTTTCACTAAAAAATTACAGTTGGTGAATCAACAGGCTTGATTGCGAAATGAGGGGCTCGGTTGAATACTGCCAATCATTATCTGGTTTTTGTAACTCTTTTGAACTCTTAACTCTTTTGAATTTTTTTATGTTAAGCAAATAAGTCTTTTTCTAGAAAAAGAGGACTCGAAATAATACACATCTATGTAGCGTAGTTAAGATCCAAGGATACGAAATAAATTGACTTGCTTTCAATTTCAACAAGCTTTCCGTTCATTCTTCAGATAAAAAACTGATGAGCAAACCAAATGTGTTAAAACTAGCGCCGAAAATATCTCATTACAAAGGCCCGTACGAAAATGTTGGAGTCCGAAAAGCAGCCAAAAACAACCGTTTGCGGACCGTCCGAAACGGCTCCAAAAGTCGGACCGGGACAGTTCCTAAATCCGCCCTCGGACAGTTCCCAAAAACATTGAAAAAGACCAAAGTCAGAAAGATTCCGGACTTGTCCTGAGTACCAACGCTAGTCGAAAAACGGACAGTCCGAACAAATGCACCAGCCTGCTGCCCCTCGCCCCTCCCTTTCCCCCTTCCCCTTTCCCTTCGGACGCAGGTTGCTTCGGCCGGCCGGGGATTTTCCGCGGGAGCGCGCCCTAGCGCCGGCTGGGCTCACCCTACCTGGCTCGGCTGGGCGGTCACCACTGCCGTGGCGGCTCGGCTCGACTCGGCTCGGGGCACGGTGGCCGGTCAGACACGGCAAGGGACGCGATTTACAGCCTCCAGTGGAATATTACACACAAATTTTGATCATGCACTAACTGTAGCATACCCGCAAGTACATGCCTGCACAAGCGAACTCGTTGAAGCTGTTTGCAAATGATGGGAACACTTGGGGATGAGGGTGAAAGAGGAGAGGGCGAATAAAATAATACACCTCCCACCCTCTCACCGCCCGTCCTTCAAGTTTGAGAGAAACACACACTTGCGGTAGCCAGCAGCCAGCGGATAGTTGTTTGTTTGGGACACTTGGGACACTCAAATTCGATCAATGTTTAGGAAAACGCCGTACACGACACCTCACCAAAAATTACTTCTAGAACAGTCGCGAATCGCCTCAACATCGCTCCGAGAAAGTAACGAGTGAAAAGTAGATGTGACTTGTGCGCGTTCCTCTATGTTCACTGATCACAGATGCGCTGCTGTGCGATGTGACTCGCTCAACAGCGCGCCGTAAACTGGCGAAAACTGCATCTCTGGCCGCGTCCGCCAGGGCGCCAGGTACACTCGGCGACCCTTCGGGCCTTCGGCTTGCTTCGGCACGCCGGCGAGCGGCGTTTTCCGCGTACCCAGTTGCCGGGACGTCCGGGCGCCCCGGCTCGGCCCGGGCCAGCTGCACCTAGGCAGGGCTCTTTCGGACAGTCCTTGACTTTGAGTGGTTCAGAAACCAAGAAACGGAACTGTCCGGTCCGGACTCCGATTCGGCCCGGACTCTATTCGGGCCTAACCAGAGGGAAAGCGGAACTGTCCGGGGCTGGTGGACAAGTTTGGAATAGTCCTTGGCCAGGTTTCGGAACTCTTCGCTATTGTAAGGGGACTCATTTGACCGATATAGGAGCAAAGTCCCCATATGTTTGTTTCCTTAGCGAGGTGCTGAGAGCCCCAGATGCAGATGACTTTTTCTTGTAACATGAACAGTTAATTAACTTATAATATTCATTTTCTTAGAAATCTCTGGTACAAAAATATAAACATGTAGTACAGAAATGGAACGAGAGAAAGCCGTCCTTTTTCTATACGGAGTCCACTCTGCTAACTCAAGTGTGTGACAGGCATGCACTTCTTGGTGAATGCCTGGCACACACTTCTAGGTGCATGCCTGCAGGCACACACTTCAAGGTGCATGCCTGCAGGCACACACTTCAAGGTGCATGCCCAAGGCACACACTTGCCGTCGCTAATGCATGCTAGTGCCTGAGGCATGCAGCAAAGAAGTGTGTGCCTGCCAGGCTTGCACCAAGAAGTGTACGCCTGCAGGCATGCATCAAGAAGAGCATGCCTGGCACGCACTGGAGTTTGCAGAGCAAGAATGTTGACACCATCACAATACAAGTTTTAGGCAATCTGAAAGAAAGTCCGCAGGGAAGAAACTTAGGCCCTATCCCAGGGGTTCTCAAGCTTTCTCGGCTCGAGACCCTAAATTTGAAGCTCAAAATTTACACGATCCACAGGAAAATTTTCGCGACCCCATTCGGTCTCAATCCCCAGAAACACCCCCCCCCCGGCAAAAAAAAATAAAAGTAAAAAATAAACGAACAAAAAAAACCAATGCCCTATGAAAGAATTTAAAACGAACGTCCACACGCAGAAAACCTAACGAAGTATTTTGAGCATTCATTACATAGTACAAACTTAATTACTTTGTCATGCAAAGAAATAGTTCGTAAATAAAGAAGTATCTTCTTTCAAAGCAAATGTGTGCCCAACATTATTCGTTTGCGAAACAAAATGTTTGCTTCGTATAGGGCCTAAAATAGTTCGTATGGTTTTTAGAATGCAGTTCCCGCGAACCTATATTCTTGTCAGTGTTTGATCTGGTGGCCGGCCGGGAGACCGCCGCAACCGCACATAACTTTTCGCGACCCCAAGGTTGAAAACCGCTGTTGGAATCTTACTTTACTCTTGTTACACTGATAATGAAACAGTCTTGATCAATTTTTAATTTCGGGCGAGGTATACTTTATCACCGTAAGTTTGGCCAGAAAGGGTGTATGAGCTACGTGCATGGCTGCAAAGTTATCAACCAAATTCGGGTGAGGAAACTTCCTTACCCAAATACACCTATGAGTGATAAAGAATTCCATCGGAAAAGGAGGTAACTGAACCGAAGTCTACATGATTCCTCTAAACGGCCAAGGAGGTCGACTCATATTTGGGCTTATAGAAGACTAATGTAAAGAGAAGCATCACAATTAAACTGCTTAGTTGTTTGAAAGTGCTGGTATGTTTGAAGAGGAGACAAAACCTCGAGTAACCAGAATTTGTCTCCCTCCTAGTTCTTAGTGCAATGCACACTGAACGCAGGACTTTCTGTAACCAACGTCCAACTTCTTTGAGATTAAGTAAGTCACAGGAAACAAGGCTTCGTAGAGTCACGCCACACTGCGTTCTCGTACTGGAGCAGCCTTGGCTTCGTACACTGTGAGTGGAGCATCTCGCAAGTCCTGAAGCGGAAGCGACGCGAACAATAGAGCACGCTTAGAACCTTAGGAATTACTTCGAGCAGGTAAAAACCGTTCAGTTTCTTATGCGAAGAAATAGTTCGTAAATTAAAGAGTATTTTCTTTGGGAGCTCATGTATTCTTTGTAAAGCCAAAAAGAGGTTGGAAGGTTTTCAGAGCGTAGGTCCTGAGATTGCGTAACCGCATCTTCCACGCGTCCTCTCTTCCCGCTGTCCGCACGGTGCATTCGCAGAATCCGTTGCCCTTCTTCGATTCCTCTCCACTTGCGTTGCAGAGTTGGTGGCGCACTTGGGGCCGTGAAACGCAGCCGCAGTGTTCCCAGCGGTCCCTCTTGCCCGAGGCGGATTACCCGAAGGTAAGTTGCAGTCGGCACGCGAGGCACCTGTTGGCTGCAGAGTGACGGTGCACCGCGCGGCGGTGAAGGCTGCACTGCCAACGAGGCGCCGAGGAAGCCTGCGCGCTGAATGGTTGTGTGCAATTTTGTACTTGGTGTTGCGGAATTTTTAACCTGCGTTACGTTTTGTTCAAAGTTGTGCCGAAAGCTGCTTAAATTTATACACTTTGGAAAGCATAGGAGTATGCATATAGCACGTATATGCACACAATCGTTCAAAGTTACATGAACAGAATTGAACGCAATCATAAAGTGTGTGAGTGTGTATAAACAAACAGTTGAACCAGGAAATCTTTTCGCTTGGAAACTCAGTCACCCTAGTTTCCGGTCACTGTAAACGTCAAGATTCACCAAAGCTTACGACGGTAGGATTTCTTTCGGGTCGTCCTAATTAGCCTGAAGGGAAATCGGCGAGAAACGTGAAGCGTTCCTATCGACGTTGACTTTTAAAAGCAAAACCGAACAAGTGGCCGTCGATTTGAGATCATGTTGGCAGTTGCATTTGTTTGGGGACGTCCATCAAGGTACGCGCTTGCGCTTGGGGGCAGGGGGACCGAGTGCGTTACGCTGCGGTATGGACACGAGGAGACGGGGTGAACGTCATGCGTGACCATTTAGAATGTGAGAGCCGTTGACATTGTGTTTTTATGAATTATTCGGTGTAACGCTACATCGGGGCGGTCTGGGCCAGCGTCATGCTGCGCCACTGTGGGGAAAAGGAGGGATGTCTACAAACGCGTGACTGAGTAAGGCAGACGGCAAACATTGGCTTGTCGTAACAGGCTTCGCCATCGCGATCCAGCACCCGTTTCGACAATCCTTTCGACAATTTGGGTTTAACTCTTGGCTTTTGGCCAGCGGCGCTGGGCTGCCTTCGGCAGGCTCCCCTGCGAGACATCGGCGCGCTCATCGTCGTGATCTCAAATCAAAGCAGCATACGGTGTTTGCATTTGTCAAAGGCACCGCTAGACTGATCGCAAAATGTTTATATCCACACTTCAAACAGGAAGGCGAAACTCCTATAATGTTTTTTGGCCCACATCCGATAAATTTTAGGTGTGAAGGGTCAATCTGTGTTGCGCCATATCCTGGCGTAAAGCCTTTCCATTTCTTGGGCCGTAAATCGAGGAGCAAAAGTGAGAACTAACCACTTCTGCGCAGACATCCCCCCTCGACTCACACTGTGAAAAATCCACTGAAATATTACAACACAATGACCTACAGTACTGTTGTTAAATTACAACAGTATTGTTTTGTGTCTGAACGGGAAACCCATCCAGAGACAACACTTTCGTTTCAAAACAACTTCCTTGTCAGTAACAATAATGTCATCGAGATTCAAAACAGTTGTGTTGTCGTTGAAAAGGTTTCATGTTTAGAAACAGCCTTTTGCAATCTTAAAACATATGTTGTTATGTTGTTAATAAACATATGTTACAGGGGTCTTGTTTAATAACAGCACTATGAGATCAACATAAATGTAACGAAGACTTCATCGAAGACTCCAAAGAAGTAGTGTTTTATTACAATCAAACTGTCAGAAAACAGCACCGAGGGCTACCACATGCTTGTAATAAAACAAGTCGTGTTGCTATCAAACACTGGTAAAACTAAAGCGTAGTGTTATCCTCTGGTTTCAAGCGTAGTTAGTTTACGCTTGAAATCAAGCGTATCAGGCTCATCCACCAATAATCTCCCTATCTTAATGCATGGGGAAATTTCTAGTCTATGCTTCATTTCAAGCGTAACGTCTTCAAGCGTAACATTATGCTTGACTCAAGCATTTAGTTACGCTTTAGTTTTACCAGTGAACTTAACAGCATAAATGCTGTTAATTTACAGCACTTTTTTTAACAGTGACTCCTTAACCGACCACATTCATTTCATTTTGTTGCAGAATAGGGCACGAGTCGGTGTGCACCGTTCCTCTCTGCACTTTGAGGTCTTCGCCTGCACCTAAGGTATGGTCGATGTCCACTAGCCTCCGTTACAGAGGGCAAGCCTGAAGTTACTAATTGATCTCTCTGTTCCAGCAGGCCCTCCCTGCCAGGCGCATCATGCCCCTCGAGAGCTCACTGTGCGGCGAGGTGGCGGCATCGTCAGCGGCGCCGCGTGTTCCACGTGGCAAGCGTGGAGGGCAGCAGGCACTCCACTGTGCAGTCTGCGAGAAGGAGTTCCGATGCAAGAGTGACCTCCAGGTGCACTTCCGAGTCCACACCGGGGAGAAGCCTTTCGAGTGCACGTTCTGCGAGGAGAAGTTTGCTCTAAATGGAAACTTAACAAGGCACCTTCGAACCCACACCGGGGAGATGCCCTTCGAGTGTGTAATTTGCGAGAAGAGGTTCACGCAAGGTGGAAATCTGAGAAGGCACCTTCGCACTCACACTGAGGAGAAGCCGTTCGAGTGCACAGTTTGCAAGAAGAGTTTCTCTCACAGTGGCGCTTTAAGAAGACACCTTCGGACCCACACCGGGGAGAAGCCTTTCGAGTGCGATGTTTGCCAGAAGAGTTTTGCTGTAAGTGGACAACTCCGAGCGCACCTTCGCACCCACACTGGGGAGAAGCCTTTCGAGTGCACAGTCTGCAAAAAGTGTTATACTGAAAGCGGGACCCTGAGAAAGCACTTTCGAACGCACACTGGGGTCAAGCCTTTCGAGTGCTCGGTTTGCAAGAAAAAATTCGCTCGAAGTGAAAACCTCAAGAAGCACTGTCGTACCCACATTATCGGATAGAAGCCTCCGTTGCCGTTATTATTCTTGTTGTTATTCACCTTACCCCGGCAATTTTGAGCTATTTTTTTCTTTTCGGTTTATTTCTGTGACCCGTTATGCTTGTATTTTAGGGGCTCAGTCGAAACAAAGCTGAGATCCAAGACAGCAAACGAAATTTTCAAGAGGAACTAACAGGCTTTGCTTCCATTGACCTTATTTTATTGATCTTTGGTCGGCAGTCACTTGTGGATAGTTTGAAGAGTTCTCGTATTCCTCAAGGTCCTTGTGTTACGTCTTAGTTTAATGCAGTCTTTAAAATATTCTTACTCTGTCTCACCTCGCTGATGTTCCCTCCCACCGAAGCGTGGAAATTAGTTACACGTTCGCACATTTAATTTGTGAAACATGTCTCCGAATGAAAACACTAATAATCATGGTGTTGTACACAGCTTAAACTGTTTCTTGTACAACTTTTACCGACGAATAAATAATCATTATGACAAATTACTTGTACGGTTTATTACAAAAATACAAACATGAAACACACAAACGAAACGAGAGACAGCAGTCTTTGTGGAGATTCTGGGCGAGGCGGCGCTCCTCACGCCTCACGGCCTGCGCTGCGCGCGCACCCCCAGCCCCGTGACGGCGAACACGGCGCCGGCGTTGGGCTCGAGCAGCAGCTGGTCCTCGGACAGGCCCTTGCGCATGCTGGTCACGTACAGGGTGTCGCCGCCCTGGGCGTCCCTGGGGCCGCCCAGCGCCACGGCCGTCACCTGGGACGCGGGGATGGCGACGCGCCGCAGCAGGCGCCCGGTGCGGGGGTCAACGTGGATCACCTGCGGGCACAGGGGGCTCAGTCAAGAGGAAATAGCTCCAGCCAAATTCGTACTGTCCATCAAATATGTTAAATTTACTGAAAATCATTCAAACTAATCAATATTTGACTGAAATTCATCGAATTTCGAGCAAAATTCATCGTATTTCAAGCAAAATTCATCGTATTTCGAGCAAAATTCATCAAATTTCGACCAAAATTCAACGAATTTCATCGAAATTTACTGAAATTTATAAGATTTGAACACTGAAATTCACAGTGATTTTCCCCTTGGGCTCAGTGCGAGCAGCGCCCGCGCTCCATCCGGGCCTCGCTCCCTCCCTCCGGGCCCACGGAAGAGTTACCTGGCTGCCGCCGAAGCACGCCACCCACAGGTTGTCGTCCGCGTCGATGGCCATGCCGTCAGGGTTGCCCTCCACGTTGTTGGCCGCCAGGTCGAAGGCCGGCCTCCTGTTGGCTGCAAGCAAGCCGTGAGCGAGGCTGCGACGCCTGCGACGCGCAGTGCACTGCAAGTCCAAACACGTACCGATGGTGCCCGCCGCCAAGTTGTAGTCGAAGACGTCGACGCGCCTCGTCGGGGTGTCGATGTAGTACATGAGCGTCTCCCGCCGGTTGAAGACCAGCCCGTTGGAGATGCTCACGTTGGCCAGGGCGGTGGTGACGAGCGCCGCGCCGCCGTCTGTGTCTCTGTGCCCCCTCGGGTCCACCAGCCTGGACCACAGCGGGTCCGCGTCGCTGCGTCGCCTCGTGATGCGGAACAGCGAGCCTTGGTTGGGAGTCACCTGCCCCACCACTGGCTCGGGCCCCATGGTGCCTGCGGGCAGCGAGAGCCTTAGCCTTGGCGTGAGCCTTGGCGTGAGCCGGTTGGGGTGTGGGCACACTGCCAGCCACTCACCGATCCACATGCGGCCCAGGCTGTCGGCGGCGCCGTCGTTGAAGCGGTTGCCCGGCTTGTCCTGGTCCACCGTGGCCAGCACGGCGGGGCGCGAGGCCAGCACCGCGCCGAAGCCGGACGCGGCCCAGTCCACCTCCTGCAAGGTGCGGCCCACGCCCACGGCCAGCGTGCCGCCGGGCAGCTGGATGGCGGGGGTCACCGGCCCCTCTGCGCAGAGAGAGCGAGCGTTAGCCTGGGCGCGGGGCTGCTACAGTGTGCCACACAGTGTGCCACACACCCACCGAAAGCGAGTCCTCGCACGCCGCCCGTGGCCGCGTCGTAGAAGTGCAGCGAGTCGCCCGCGATGTCCACGAACAGCAGGCCGTTGTGCGCGCGGTCCCAGCTGGGGCCCTCGCTGTGGAGGTACGGCCGCGTCACCTGGCGCAGCTCCAGGCCTCGCGCGCCCCGCGCCACCAGCACGCTGCAACACGCCGCGTTGTCAGCTCCACGCTCTGCACGGCACCTGGCTAAGGGCGGCACACTTCGCTTCATCGCTTGAGTGCAATTAGCGTATCTTATCGGCACTCGAACCGCAGCGTCCTGCGCGACGGGATTCCTTCGGTCGGCGAGCGAACCGCAAACACGCTGTGGAGTTGCCGTTGCCACTCATTGACTCTTCCTGCCGGTTGTTGGGGCCTCGCACAACATTGCATGGACATGTCGCTTTGAAGCTAACTACTAGACTGTGCCTTGACCAAGTACCTTGACCAAGACATTCCAAATGAATGGCCCCGTGCTTCCCTAAGTTCAATGCCTAATTCTTTGGCTGTCCATCAGAGCCAGTTCGCATTGCTCTAAAGAGAAATGTCCCCGACTGTCCCAGTCTTTGCCGTCGCTCTCAACTAATGGGCACGCGAATCGTTCGCAAAGCTGCCTTCATTCGCAGCTTGACGCTAAAGTCGGCACCTGCGCCAGTTTTCCTCCTCGGCCAAAGTGTCACATCGACACTCGAGTGTCAAGTCCGCCAACTGCACCCATCTTTCGCGATCATCGCTTTCACGAAATCATTGTGCTGATAGTTCTCTTGCCGACAAGCCTCCCTCGGAAATTGGTTACCTTACTCTTCGGAAAACAAACTGAATACTTTGCACCTCACATCTGATCAAAATACTTCGTCAGGTTTCCTGCGTGCAATAATTGCGAGCGGGACGTAACAGTTTTCAGTCCAGGTTGACAACTCGTGTGATTTTCGTATGCACTTCAACAGCACTTAATCCCCCCCCCCCCAAAAAAAAACGTGGGAAAAGTTCACCTTTATGAAAGATTTGGGCAAAATAATTTAGTAGGCGCAGTGCAAACTGTACGAGGCATTGCCTATCATAAAGAAACCGAAGGCATTGAAAAATCTGCGATGATATGCTCCTGACTGTGCAGTTAAATACTTCGTATAACGTAGAGTTCCTTCACTATACGAAGCAATGCCTTGGTTTTTTTCGACTTATGAATAAGCAGATGCTCCGAGAACTCATAAGAGTGGGCACTGACCTGAGGGCGAGGGTGGCCGCCAGGGCCAGGCTGCTGGTGTAGGCGGTGCGGCGGGCCATGTTTCACTGAATGGCGCCTCATTGCGGCCGCCGCCTTATAAAGGGACGCGCGGCCGTCGGCACGCGACCGGCGAGGCGCCTGTCGGCAAGCCGCCAATTGGCGGGGCAGCGCGGCAACTAATCGGCCAGGCATTTAGGGCCCCGATAGCGATGGGCTGTTTACCTGGACCGCGCAGCGCGCGCACACTCTCAGCACGTTATTGACTTTTTGATCATTTTGTCAGTACTTATGCAAGTAACTTGTGGAACCACAATAGGTACTTTTCCTTTTTTAAAGAACTTCTTAGGAAATATTGAACAGTGTACTAAGACTTTTGTTTTGTACATAATTTTACAAAGGAAATTAGGCATACTTACTTGGAAAATACTAAGTATTATTGCCGTTTATACGAATCCTTAATTAATGAGGAAAAGTCAGTAACGTGCTGAGAGTACAGTGGCCAGAGGTGCGCTGAGAACACTTGTCGTCGTATTTGGTGCATGTTGATGAAAAATCCATCGATTTCACGTCGAACCAATGTCGTTTCGCACACCGAATTTTGGTCTGGAATATGCTCGTACCCTTGCGAGAAAAAGAAGCAGAAGACAGCGTGCACTATGTCTTACGAAGAAATTTCCCATAATACGAAGGAAATGGCGCAAGCATAATACGAAGGTGGTTCTTCTTCGTATTACGAAGGTTTTGCATTGTATCATACAATGAAAAAGCTAAAAAGATTCGTATTACGAAGGAATATTGCTTCGTATTATATGCTTGCGCCGAATTCACTGTAACATACGAATAACATAGGTCAAATTTCATGGTAAGACATTTAGAGTGTGGTACGCTTCTTTTCAAGCGCAGTGTTGAGCGCAGCACTGCAAGAAATGTGTGAAAAGTACATCAAAAGTACAACAAGAATTGTACAAACCACAACGAGGCCTGGACTGCACGAGCACTCATCATGCCGATTCTATTGTACTTTGTACAACAATCGTTGTACTTGAAAAGTACAATAAATACCTGATAAAAAATTTGCCAGAAATTTGTGTTCTTTTGTTGTGGTTATTTCTAGCAGTGAGAGGCGTGAACAGAGAGAGGGAGAGGCGTGAACACAGAGAGAGAGAGAGAGAGAGAGAGAGAGAGAGAGAGAGAGAAAGAGAGAGAAACAGAGGTCACGCAGGTCACGATCTCGTTGACGTGAACGTGCCAAATGTACAACAAGGATTTGAAGTGTACAACGGGGCCTCGAGTGCACTTCTCTCGTCATACGGCGCACAGTGGGGCGAAAACGGAAAAAGTCGCACGAAATTATTTTCTTCACCAAATTTTGTGTATAGTGTATTTAGGGGTCGCTGAATTCATTTCTGACGAGATTTGAACGTGAAAGGCACCCTAAGAGGCGGAGCCAGGTGCGTGAAGGGGGGTAAAACGAACCTTATTGCTGAATTCTCGCAAAACTTTGGATTTGAGGGTTTCATTGGTAGTGAAAATCATTTCTGAGGAGATAAAAAGACAAAAGATATACCCAGGAGACGACCAAACGTGCCTCTTGTGCCGCCTATTGATACTGGCTGCACCCAAGGCCTGCGTAACGATGCATGTCTTGGCGTAACAGCATGACCACGGAAGTTGTAAGTATCACTATCGGTGGCAGCCCAAAACGATGTCTGGTGTGGCACAGTGTCTGGCAGAGCTGGCTGGAGTAGCCAGCGTGCATAGCGCCTCTGCCGTCCTCTCCCGAGGGCGCGGTGCGGTAGCGGTGGCGTGGCGCGGCGAGACGAGGTCGCAAGTTTGACGTCGATTTGAAGGAAAACGGCATCGAACGGCATCGCCGGACGAAATGGACATGAAAGTGGGGTCACCATACTATCTCACCACGGTGCCCGACCGGTTCGCAAATGTTCGCAACTCGACTTATCCCTCGTCAAAAAAGTCGCAGACGACGATTTTCGCAAACATTTGAAGACCCGCAGTTTCCACACTTTTCGTTTGAAACCAATTCCAATGAATGGACTGGACTGCTTGATTTTTTGCCTTTCCAAAAACATATAAAACATGTTATTTTGCTCTGCAACAGCGATAGGAGTAGCCTTTCTTACGCGACCCCCGCCAAATGTATCATTTTCTCGCGAGATTGCTCTACTTTGAGGTCGCTAAACGGCAAGTAGTAGTTATTTGAGGTGCAAAAAATGTTCGTAACTATATAGAATGGTCCTTTGTGAGTTCAAAAACGTCGGTCCCATCCCTCTGGGACAAAAACGGCGAAATCGGACTTACGTGCGACTTTTTCCGGTTTCGCCCCACTGTGCGGCGGTCCCCTGGCAGGTTGAACAAAAACTGCTGAACCTTGCAAGTACAATCCATCCCTGATAAAAAAAAATTGCCAGGATTTGTTGTTGGTTTCTTGCAGTAGTTACTCGTTCTGTAATCTAATTGTCGCATTATGTTAGTCATATCGTCCACCGAACGAGTAATGTTACGATAAAGAAGAATCATAATACTGAGATATTTGTTCGTAGACTAATTTATCCGTAAAGTTGTCACAGGTTACTGAGGCCCTAACTCCATAAATTATAACCTTGGCTGTGCTTGTGCTGTCTTAACACTTCGTACTACGAAAACCAAAGTCGGTGGTGGGTACTTCACTGAAAACGTAATGGTCGCACACGTGGCTATGTTATGGCGTGGCAAGAGGTCACGACAAAAATGGACGTGACACGAAATTCACGTCGGTGAACGGCATGACGTGTGAGTCTCGCCGTCATGTGGCGTGAATGACAACGCGTTTTCAGAGAAACGTCTTTCCAAAAAGCGGCGGCATGACAAGAAATTCACACCAAAAATTGGCGTGAATTTTTGGGCGGCATGAAGTCACGCCGATAGATTTTCGGTGTTGGGAGTGTGGGTTTTCATCAAAAGTACAACGTATATTATTCGCTACACAATACGAAATATGGAAGGCTCACGTCGCCTTCACATGGCAATCCTCGAGGTTTTTGGCATAAGTAGGTGAAATTCTCAGAAAGTTCGATTTCAAAGTGTCAATTTTTCTTGGTAACTTAATATAGTAGTTGACCACAGAAAAGTACTATTCTCATCTATGCGTGTCAACACTTGATCCAGGAAGCGGAAGAAGGGAATAACTTGACTTATCCCCAAATTGAGTTTGTATTTTAATATTGTGCCTTAGAATGGTTTCCATCACTACACCAAATTATTTGACTGAATTCCAAGCAGTTTAGGAGAAAATCCACATGGAAAAAGGGTATAACTCAACTTAACCCCTTTTACGGTCTAAATTTCATTGGAAAATGGAGATAACTCAACGGAGGTCCACATGAGTCCGTTTGACAAATTGGCAAAAGGATATAACTCAACTTGTATTTTTATGAATCTTGTGTAAACGAATCAACTCAACTTAGCCCCCCCTTAATTTTAAATTTCAATTTGGAAAAAAGAGCTAAGTCCAAAAAATACACCAGGGTAACATACACTTTATGCAGACTATTGTTCCACTTGACTTGTCTCCAAATTCCTCTTTGTTTAGGAAATATAAGGTGAGCTGACTCTGTTTTCCATATCAACGGAAAGCGATACGTCGCAGAAATCCTCTACGGAGTGACCTTACACTTTTTATTTTTTTTCCAAAATTTTACTAATGCTTTTTGAAATTATTAACATGTGCAACATTCATTTGTTTTGTTTTAGTTTTCCCTCCTAACAGTTTTTGGTTTCTCCTGGAAAATGGCCAAAATTGAGTTATCCCCTTCTTCCGCTTCCTGGATCACTTCGTCCATTATTTTGCAAGACAATTATGGTAGGCCACTAAATACAAACCTAACGAGCTCGTAACGAGCTCTATAAACGTTAACGTAAAATTTTTGTAAGTGGTCATTCCTTTTTTTTTTAAGAAACCTCTGTAACGTTTTGCATTAAATTGAGCTCAAATTTGCATAAATTTATGCATAAACTTATTTACTCCAGCGCAATGCATGTAGTATACCACAAAATACTTTACACGTTGAAACCGATGTCTGGAAATTTCCAGACATTTTTTCCCTTTTCCAGACATTGTCTGGAAATGGCCGTTTTTTTCCAGACAATGTCTGGAAATGTCTACTTTTTCCAGATAATGTCTGGAAATGGTCAAATCCCAGATATATATCTGGAAAAAAAACGGCATTTCCAGACAATGTCTGGAAATAACATTTTCCAGATAATATCTGGAAATTTCCCAGATAATGTCTGGAAACAAAGGCCTTGACGCCGAGGTCCACGGATTTGCGACCTGGGGGTCCCCGATGTGTCCTAGAGGTCCCAGGACACGAGGAGTCCAACGCCGAGGTCGCCGACGCTCTAGGACAAGCGGTTCCGGAGATACGAGGACGTACCACAAGGAGTCCGTCAAAGCAACTTTTTAGTTGGAGGCCAAAATCATCATCGGCCTCTGGCTGCGTTCCACTTGGGTGTCCGGGACTTTTGACTTCAGCATCGTGTTAAGGTAGTGCTAGACTACCAGGAACCCGTCAGAGGTCGCCGTCGGACCACCGGTGCGCCCAGGATGCCGACGAACGTGGCTGCTGTGCCGCCACACGGTTCAACACCGTTGTCGCCACCACCCAGGTGGTCCCCGATGGTGTCCTCGAGGTCCCCAGGACACGGGGAGTCCAACGCCGAGGTCGCCGACGCTCTAGGACAAGCGGTTCCGGAGATACGAGGACGTACCACAAGGAGTCCGTCAAAGCAACTTTTTAGTTGGAGGCCAAAATCATCATCGGCCTCTGGCTGCGTTGCACTTGGGTGTCCGGGACTTTTGACTTCAGCATCGTGTTAAGGTAGTGCTAGACTACCAGGAACCCGTCAGGGGTCGCCGTCGGACCACCGGTGCGCCCAGGATGCCGACGAACGTGAGGCACGCCGGAGCGCCGTGGCGTGCCGGGTGCCTAAACGATCGTCGCCACCGCTGCGGCCGCTGCCGCCGGGTCCTCCGCACCAACCGCGAGCTTGGACGACGGAG